ATTTTTTTTGTTTTGTTAATCAAATCTCCACACACAACGAAGTTGTTACACAGCTTTCCCAAGGCTTTTATTTTATATTTATTTGTGTGCTGCCAACAGAGCCAATTTTAAACTAAAACAGTAAATCGATTTTCTCTAGTCTTTGCTCTTTCACACCAGTCTTCACAAAACTGAAAGTGCAGCACGAAATAGACCCAATCGTATCTGCTTTAGGAGAGGAGTAAGTGAAAAATTACTTGCCTAGGAGAAGGTGAGGTTATTACTCAAAATGGCTCCAGGGTCGTGGTGTTTTGAAGTTGTGCTGAATATTAAACAACAGGTGAAAGGGAAGAGGTTTTTCCTTTTGAAACCCTACATCTAAGCCTGTTCAATGACATGAAGTAAACACGTCAGCCAGCTTGTCACAGAAAAAAATCTTCATGAAGAGCCAGTGTAAATTAAAGCCTTCAAACCAAAATCAGGACTTAAAGATTGCTTTGCGTTCCTTTTCATAATAAGCAATCACAGAGTTTGGTCTCTTAAACAATTTGTTCAAGATGACTTAAATGGCAGAAACTGAACGCAACCCTGCTGTCCTCTGAGAGTTACACCTGTAGGCACTTTCCTGATTAAATGAAGGTTTTACTTCGCATTCTCAGATTCGCCTTTCCAGCTTGTTTTGTTTTCCAAGAAACCATCTCATCCACTGCTTAGCTATACTGCCAAGGAATGCAAATTCATAGTGCTTACTGATGGCATCACACAAGATTTGTCCTACAGAGCTCCGGAAAGAGGAAAACTGCTACTGAAGTAAGAGTTTGTATGTGTGAACACGGGTGATTTATTCAGGCATGCCCGCTCAGAACAGAATGAACACTTGCTTGCTTCTGCTGCTTAGGACCTTTCTGTCAAAGGTTTTTAATTTTGCTTTATAGCACAACCTTCGCAATACAGAACACATGTACTGGCTTGGTTTGAATTTGTGGTAAAGGGCTTGGACTTTCTGTAGAGGAAACAATGTTGGAGTGGGGGGACGGAGCTCATATTTCAGCACGGTCTTCCCCTTCTGCTTTTATTGAGTACTAAAATCTGGGCTACATTGAACATAGCAACTTTCTGAGGAGGACACTGACACCCTACACAACGCAAATCTATGCTGGGACTAGGTGAATGGTTTATTTAGACAGCTGAATTGGCCCCCTTGTAACTGAAATTCAGACTGACGATCCCCTCACAAGACCATGGAACCGGCTGTGGCTTGTCTAGAAGACCACTGGGATATGTATCTGACGCTGTCTCCTACAGCAGTCCTGCATCCAAGCTAGGACGTTACAGCCTGGATGAACAGACAACCACGTAATTAAGACACCAGTTGGGTGGCTGGGCTCAGAGGGCAGCGGTTAATGGGCTGTGCTCTACCTGGAGGCCAGTTACAAGCAGAGTGCCACAGGGTCTATACTAGGATTCATCCTGTTTAATGTCTTTATCAGTTACAAGGACAAACGCCAAGTCCTGCACCTGGGGAGGAACGACCCCCTGCAATGATACAGGCTGGGGACTGCCTGCCTGGCTGGGGAGCAGCTCTGCAGAAAGGTCCTGGGGGATCATGGTGCAAGAAGGCTGACAGCATCGCAGGATGTATTAGCAGGAGCATGGCCTGTAGACCAAGGGATGCGATTGTCTCCCTGTACTCAACACTTGGAAGACTGCATCCAGATACTACATCCGGGTTTGGTCCCCATAACACAAGACAGACCATGATAAACTGAGCTGAGTTCAGCTGGGAGCCACCAAGATGGTTGGGGACTTGGACACTTGTCCTGCTAGGAGAGCCTGGGGGAATAGGGCTCGCTCAACCCAGGCAGGACATGGCTTTGTGGGGGGGGATTAACATCAGCCTGTAAAGCCTACAAAGAAGTCATCAAGACCACAGAGACAGGCTCTTCAGCAGTGCATAGAAGTAGGACAAGAGACAACAGGCACAAACTGAAATCAGGGGCTTTCAGACTGGATATAACGAGAAATTTTTTCACTATGAGGACAGTCAAGTAGGACAACAGCTGGCCCAGAGAAATTGTGCAGTCTCCATTTTGGAGAAAACTCTCTGGTTTTCGAGATCAGAGTGGGTAAAGCCTTGAACGACCTGGTCTGACTTCACAGCTGGCCTTGCTTTGAGCAGGGGATTGAACTACAGGCCTCTCAACATCCCTTCTGACTTGAATTATCCAGCAACTCTGTATGAAGGAAATTCCCCATTCAGCTATTACCAGTACATGGAGAACACCCATACTGTAGCATGCTCATCCCAGTAGGTAGGTAGAGAACACAAAAGTGAAAGCTTTCACAAAGTTAACACCACTGCAATAAGTAAGAAAATCTTGCGCATTCAGTGGCTTTCTCCCTTTTTTCCACTGCTCCCCAGCAGTACACTACAGAGTGTGCACGTTCAGCAAAGGAACTGGGCCGGGGGAGGGAAGATGAGCAAGGTCAATTTTTACATCTTTATCCTTTCCTGTAGCTGATAAAATACTGCTCTTCTCAGAAGATACATGGGTAAATTTTCAGTGCAGATTCGTGTACCAGGAAATAGGGACTCTCATGACACCCTTTGGAGATTATTCCAGGGCTTAAAAGATTTCACACTCTAACAGTTCCCCAGAATACTCTGACTATGTTTTCTTTGTCAGCCTCATCCTAACGTAGTACTAGATAAGTCCTTTACCTCCGGGCTATTTACACTCACCAGAGAACTGAGGACTGTTATGCCACATAGCCAATTAGAAAGATCAAGTTCCTTTAATCTTTCCTCAAATCCACTTGAACACCAAAAACCTGTTTGTATTTCCTGCCATAATATCAGGATGGGTTTCCCTTTCTGTGGATGAGGTCTCAGTACTGACTGCAGAATAGCAGGTGTGCTCTCATCCAAGCCAGAGTGTAAATAAGGCCATCCAAGTTCTTTGGTTCGCTTGCACACAAACCCCCCAAACTGCACGTTTTCTTTCCAAGGCTACAATGACAAGAACTCCAGGAGGCCTTGTCTGTCCTCTCTTCATCAGCCCGATCCAAAGTCTCTGACATCAGGGGAAACAGTCTCAGTCACTTGGAGGGCCTTGGACCAAGTCCCAGATCTTAAAGATAAAAGCAAGGAGAAAATGAGGCATTAACTTCAAATGCAGCTGCCTGAAATTCCTGCCTTGAAGTGGGAACGCAACGACTTTGAGGGTAGGCGGAAGGATTTTTAAAATTAAAAAGAATGGGGCGAAGAGCATGTTTTAACTTTCTAATTGAAAAAAGTGCTTTGGAAAATACTCTGTGACTCTGTTTTGAATTAATTTATTTATTCAGTCAAGGGAACATTCTACTGACGTTCACTGGAAGAATAAAAACCTGAATGTCACAGTATTTACTTTGATTTTCTCTTCGTAAATTAGAGCTTATCAGTGTCTTTATGCAACACACAGCTTCTCAGGCTGCCTTCCAAATTAAAGAAAAACAAAACAGAACAATGTGAGGAGAGTCAGGCCATTCAGGTATTTCACAAATAGCAAGTGACAGAAGATTGCAGAGTGTATAACAGCTTTATCCTCACTGGGAGAAAGACGGCTCTTGGCTTCACAAATGCCATAGCTTTGCACCGGGGAGCTACCCGAATGGTAATAGAGCAAGAGGCTGTACACACTGCTCATAAAGCACCAACACACTTAACCAAATTCAAAGCCATGTGTACACAGCTAGAGAAAAGCCTGACTGCATGTGTTACATGTGCATTATGTTCCTTGGCTGCCCTCCAGCTGGCTGCTTTCATGTCAGATAACTTTCACCCAGAAAGTTCTACACTCAGAATTCATAGCTACAGCCTTCCCATTCACAGAAGGTCTTGCAATCACTCTGTATTACCACGGTAACCTGAGAACTGACTGGTCTCAGCAGGTCTGGTATACCACAAGACTCATACGCTTTTTCTGGATCAGGTCATTAATCATTTGCTCTGTGACTAATTCTTCTAAAATCAAAAAAATCAATGTAAGGCACACGTCAAAGGAGAGTCATCTCTCGCTCTCCCCAGATGTTTCACTAATGCATAGCCTAGTATAGTTACAGTATGACTCAGAACTAGGAAAAAGCTTCTTTTTTCTGCTCTTATCTTCAAAATGGTCCAATCAGTAGAGCTGAAGCAAAAGAAAATACTAAAGAAAAGCAAGAAGCGAACTGAAAAGGACATCTTGCATTTTATAACCAACCAAACATTGCACTGCTTGCTTTGTAAATCTCACAGAAAAGCTCCTCCTTAGCTCAGGCTGCCTATTTCTTAAAAAACAAAGACAAGCAGAACTAGCTACAGGCAATGAAGTGTATTAGCATTTGAATTCATGCTTGTATATGCTCTGAGGGCAAAATTCTCTTAAAAGCAACCTAAGCTACTTTCTCAAATGTATTCTGGCAACAGTTATTTGAGACTTGAAGATTTCTGATGTCTTTACAGTTCCTTAAAAACAAACTGGAAAATGTTAAAAAAACCTCACAGATTGCTGCCAATTTCAAAACAGGATGTTTTTGTTGTTGACGACTGTAATTAGGACCAGTGACCTCGAAAATGTAAACAACCCGTCTGTTACCTCTTCTCTTCTAATTATTGTTGCAAATTTTTTTTCCTCTTTATAAACTTGGCTGTATGAGCAGTTTTGCGCTTATACTCAGGCAAAGAGCAGAACTTCCACAGGACTGAAAATTCTAGCACCCAATGCCACCATATAGTCAAAGGGAAAAGGAAGGGAGGAGGAAAGTATTTAGTATATGGCTAGTGATTTAAAATCAAGGTGGCTGTCATGAGCACACAGAAAAAGCAAGACAGAAAAGGCACCCCTACAAGAAATGCATTAAAAGTACTGCTGAAGAAAGACCCATTGTCAGGAGATAACCTTGGAAAATGCCCAAACTCCTGAGATGGTAAAGAGGAGGCTCTGCAGCTTTCCCAACACCTAATCCTGCAGTTGGAAACCTGAGCCCCGAGTCCTTACCTTCTGATGTCCAAATTCATTCAATATTGTGCCCAGCTTCTTTGTGTTGCTGTGAAGTTTGTGAGCAGCAATGGCTGGATTGGGATCCCTCCAGTCAATGGACAGGCGATGATACCAGAGGTGCCGACCCTCCTGAATGTGAGCTGACTTGATGCTGGGGTCAAAGCGATGCACCTCACATCCACTGTTGGCCATGCTGATCTCAAACTGGTTGTCATCGTTGCCCAGCCTGCAAAACAAAAGAGATGTAACTATTAATGCTGCAAAAAGAACTATTGGCGAGTCGGATATTCTGAGGATTCACAGTAAAAGAAGGCAAAAGCCAACCTATTTGTTTCTAAAGCAAAGTTGAAGAGATGTTGTGCTCCTTCTTGGGATACATCCACAGCACTGAGCACAGAATCACAGAATCACAGAATGTTCGGGGTTGGAAGGGATCTCTGTGGGTCATCTAGTCCAACCGCCCTGCTGAAGCAGGGTCGCCTACAGCAGGCTGCACAGGACCTTGTCCAAGCAGGAAATCTAACCCCAATTCTGATGAGATAACCAGAAATAACACAATAACACCTGCTGAAGTCTTGGAATGAGTTAGATAAAGGAAATATAAAGGAACATGTGTTTTTTCCCAATGTCACATTCATAACTGACCTTAAGAAACTTTTAACAGAATTTTTCATTCCTATAATGAAACTGCTGGAGTGGATTGGATGAACTAATTTCACCAGAAAATTCAAGCTCAAAGCAATATACTACATACGATTAAGAATGAAGGGCTCCTTTCAAGGCAAGAACTAAACCACTTTTAGCCAGGCTGATAACCTTCCCCAAAGAGCTTTTTCTTAATTCAGAAGTTGACATCATTTATAAGAAAGTAAATAAAATGTTAGAACCTTTGTGCTGTCATTATTCCTCTATTCATATTTTATATTTAAATTTTCAATTTGCTTTTTCTTTACAAGATTACAATACTTTCCTTAGTCCCCGCTGCACAAACTTCCAATAACCAAGTCATAAGCAGAGGAGCAAATATATTTAAAATTTATACAATGCTGTTTTGTAAAAATCAGGCATATTTCCCACCGTGTCTATAATCTGGGGTTGCAAATATGAGCCACAATAGCCACCAACAGGGACAAGAACACAAGAACCAACTGCCTCTCTTTCTCTGTGCAAAGAAAGACACAGACAAAAAAGCAAATTTAAAAATAACCCCTTCACAATAGTAGCAAAGTTTTTTTACACAGACTTAAGAGAAAGATTGCTGCTAATTTGGCAAAGACCTCAAAGAAGAAGAAAAATTAACAGCCCGATCCTACAGCAGTGTTGTCTCGGTCCCTGTCTCTGCAAGCAGAAGATGTACTTTACAAGGCTATGCCATACTCCCACCTCCTGCAGCCCATTGGTTCACACAGGGTACGCTAAAACTAAAAAATTCTGGTATTTTCCATTGCAATCACATGTCTGGACCACAGGCCTCCCCTACTGCGTAAAATGGGATGTCCTCCTCATTCCTACTCCTCCAAGCTTGTTCCAAATGTCGTTCAAATCATGCACTAAACCTTAAGCTTAATCAAAATTCTGCTGTTCAATACACACACATGTAGCACTGGGAACAGAATCAAGATTTTTAAACCAGCGCTTCAACCAGTTGTACTAATTGAGAATCTCACTATGTACTAACAAGCATGGCATTTATCTATCATATACAAGCGATTACCGGACAGTACTCTTAGATGTACTGTCAGAGCACCTGCTACCAGGTGCTACACCACAATTATCCTTAGAAATGGTGTGGGTCTGAAATTATTCTCGCTATTTGCATCAATATGTAAAACGTGATGCATTTTCAATCATGCTGCACTATGGTATGACATTAAGCCAGCATTAAATGTTTTACGCAGATGGCATACTGGTAAACTAAAATGAATGCCGCTTGTGGAACGATGTTTGGAAGAGGGTATGTTTTGGAAGTTACCAATGTGGTACGACGCTTGCTGTAATACCAGCTAAGCACAGTGTAACCTATTGGAAGGTCTTCTCCTCAACCATCTTCCCCTTCAGGCGTCCTGGGAAAGGAGGAGGAGACAGGAAAAACAAAAAACAAAACCAGCCCAGCATGCTTTTAAGTTCACAGGATTCCAGCCCATACAGACATGTAGGAGGGAAAGAGAGGAGTTTTCTTTGCATGCATTCAGCACACATTAGGAAAAAAGTTCAGAAGTTAACGAAGTGAATTGACATATTTGTTTGCATATGGCTTTCTACAGAAGGCACACTGATGAACAAAGACCAGTGTAATCCCTTAGGAATGAGAAGCTGGATGAAAATGAACAACACACGAATTGTTGGGGACAGTTACAGCAGTAGGGTGATGAGCCTAGCAGTGACCGATGGACACACGTGTCCGTGACGCACTTCTAACCGTACCAGCTGGTAAAATCCACAGGGCCAGATGCTTTTGATGTAGACAAACCTCAGGCTTCCTCCAAACAGACTGCTACTCATGTGGACTGCAAATGGAGGTTCACAGCAGTGCAAAACAGACAAAAAATAGCGATGAGGGTGAAAAAGGTGCTTCTATATCTTCTGGCACTCTAGCTAACAGCTCAAATGTACACCTGAAGAGAGATCTAATCAACAACAAATATTTAAGAAAGAAAATAAGGTCATCTCCAAAAGAACTGGTTTGAAAAATGGCTGTCTCCTGCTCCTGGGGTTCGCAGGGGACCCCGACACACAGAGCCTCATGCTCGGAACGAACACCGGAGCAAGGCTCGCACCGAAGGGAGCATCGCATGGGCCCCTGTGCCGTCACGGAGCCCAGCGAGCACGCAGGGGGCACAACAGCTGCTTCACCTCCTCCAGCACAGCTCTGGTGGGCACCTGCAGCTGATCCAACCCGATAATTGCAGGGACTCCAGCTCCCACAGGGACCGCGGGACAGAGCTCTAAAAACACGCACGCTAAGGCTCAGCTTTCCCTTTCTGTGTTCCCCCTTCTCCCCTTCCTTCTCAAAGGGAGAGAACTGAGCTTTGCAGCTCGGGAAAAAAGCAGCGTCCCCTGCGTGGATCCTGAAGCCCCTATACTTTAAGATCCCCCTGAAAGGGCTTTTATACAATATTGCAGCAAGACTCTTTAAGCCTGAACTGGTAGCCTTCCGAAATCCTATTAATTTATATTATCCCAGTTTGAGTGCCTGCCTGGGGTGTTTGTAGCAGACTTAGCTTAATCTAAGCAGATTTAGAACTAATAACTAGAGCTCACTGATGCATATTGCAATTATGTATCATACTGGGAAATCCTGTCCCCCAAGCAAAAACATTGCTGCCTCACAGTAATGGAAGCAACTAATACTAATCTATAAAGATCTCCAGACGTTTCAGACGCTGCTCGCTCCCATTCACAATTAACCTCTTCTACAGCATTCAAGAAGGCAAAGACTAAGCAGAGCGTTTTGTTCCATTTTTAATGATATATGGATTTAATTCAGGATTCCCAGTCACACTCGCACTGAACTTTCACATTTGTCCTCCACCCATCCTCTCCACAGAGAACATTCTTCACTGGAAGCAGCTGCTCCCCCTTTGCTCTTTATGAAGTGTATGAGATAAGAAAAACGTTTAAAGGGGATTTTTGTCTTACTCAGAACAAAATTACTTTTCTGCCTGTTATAACTAAAGGAAGTGAGTCTGAGAGAAGAATTATGCAGTAATGAGCTCAAAAGGCTTCAGAAGTAAACTGGAAGATTGAAGACTGCTCCTCCTTAACCTCAAATATTTCCCTTTTATTTTTTAGCTGTTTCATGTGATGCGCCATGGTTGGGTATTTACTGCACATGTGTATCTGATGACTGACGGGAGAGCCGACATCAGTTTCAATCTCTAAGCCCTACTGTTCCACCAGTAGAGAAAACCAGGCCTCCAGGTTCCCTGTACCATACCCAAAACAGCACCCCATATAAAGCACTGGTACACGCGCATTAGCTCAGATTTGTCCAAAACCATTAGCAAGTTATCTTCGTGCTGGTCATCTTCATGCCAAATCTGAATTTCACAGCACAGATGAAATCAACTCTGGTTTGTGCCTACTGGCCAATTCAACAAAAATATCATTCTCAACCCACACTTGGTCCATAGCAAAAGAGAAGAGGGACATCAATACAGGAGCTCAGGTCTAATATTAACGGTCATGTAACTTCAAGGGCAAGGTCTAGCTTAATTCCACTGAACTTCGAGTACTTTGCCAAGACATCCAAAGTCATCAGCTACTTTATCCCAGACTTCCTCTATAATCAAAGGAAAGCTATACCTACCTCCAGAATGTTATTTAGCTTAGCTGATTTTCCACCTGAATGCGGCTGCCTCTCCCTACTGACTGCCAGAAGGAGCCTCAGGCAACGAGCCAGTACTACCGTCAAGCAGGTGAAGTCTGGACCTGAGCATGGGATAACACAGCATCTCTCCTAACTTTCACACTAATGTAAAAAACTGAGAAACAAAACCCCATGTAAACCTATATTTTGCATTAAAACCAGGTAAGCATCATTTTGAAATAGATTGCAAAGAACATTCAGAAAATAAGAAGCAACAGTAGTTGAGAGGCGTTTGCTCTCCGTATATGTGATTTGTCTCTGAGGGGCATGTTGTTGTTGTTCTGCCACCGAGCGATGCAGCTGAACAAAACCCGAGAGCTCCTCACCCTCTGAGTTTGGCCTTTACAGCTCAATATAAGCTCGATCCAAATATAAGCCCACCCAAATCAACAGAAAAAAAGTCCTTTTGACCGCGGTGCACTCTGCATCCACTTTACATCAATTGCTGGTGTGAACTGCCACGTGCTAATCACTGAGAAATGCCACCCAGACACAGTTCCTTGCTACCCAACATTTGTAAACCCACAGCAGCAAAGTCACAGAAATGAACTGTGCTGGTTCAAGGAGATGAAGCCTTTCCATACACCTCTAACCTAAAGCTGGCTACCAGGACGGCAAAGACTGTTTTATTAGGCAGCAGCCGTGCAGTAATCTGTGTGAAATGAGCTCCAGATCCCAGCAATCGTTCTCCTCAGGCAACTGTGCACTGATGGGCAATGCAAAATGCCAGCAGCCTGACAAACTCTGAGGACTGACCTCCCCCGTCCTCCTGGGAAGCAGAGTGTTTTATTAGCAGGGAAACAGGCTGCATCTGTGATTTTACTACCTGTGAAAGCACTTGATCTGTGAAGAGTGAAAACTTCAATCTCAAGTGCTGTAAATATCATAAACACTGCAAACATTTTAAAACAAAGCCGCAACTGCCTTTATTATTATCTCTTCAGCACATGTCACCCCTGAAGTGCTCAGCAAACACACTCTCATATGGAAATGTATTATTTTGTCCCAGGGGTAGTTAATGAAGTTTTGTAATGATACTGCTGAAGTACCTGGCCATTATACAAGTCATTTCTGCTCAGGGATGCTGCTGTAGGCTTCTCAGTTTAGTTCATTAATTTCCACCTTCCTCTACATGAACTACCACTCACTACTCACCATCAAACTATTTGTTTTCATTGATTATCAGAAAGGTGAAGGAAAACTGAGACCCTCATGGAGAAAGATTTTTCCTGAGTTTACAGAAGCACATCAACACGTAACAAACACACCTGAACAAAGCCTGTATTTTAAAAGACAACCTTGTTGCAGCCTGTGTTGCATTTATAGGGCTTTCTGAAGCTAGGTGTCATGAAACAATTTGCTGTAAGAGAGCACTTACCCAAGGGAATAGAGACGGCATTGCTTGCTTCTGATTCGATGAATGAGGCTAAATCTCTCGTCAAGACAGATAGACCAGGGCTTCTTTGCGGTTTCAGAGTACCCTCTCAGGCTGTTCAGGTTCATGTGTTCACATGAAATCTGTTAATAAAGAGTGGAAAGAAGAAAAATGTTAATTGGTTTCATTTAACTCTGATTGTCAATCTGATACACAGTTATGGAGATCTGATGATTTTTTTTCTCCTTGTTCGTCTGTTCTGCTTGGTGAAATTTAAGGCTTGCATAATCCCCCAGAGAGCAATGCAGTTTGAAAAGCAAATAATTAAGCATTAGTACTATACCCAAAAATCAATTTTCCGGAGAACAAGTTATTTCGGCATTAAAATATTCAATTTTTTCTTTTCAAACCTTCAAGTAGATTCTGCATCCTGAATAATGTTAACATCATGTCATAATTCAAGACTGTAATCATTAGTTGCACTCACTGCAATGTACGCTGTATACCTTACCTACAGTGTCCTAGATCTCAGTTCCAGAAGGGATTTAATGATTATCCCAACATATTCCCTCTCCAATCACAAAGGGATTTAAGCAAGTGGTTAACTAAACAGAGGAGTCATAGCACGTGTGTCTGTGCTGCCTTAGACATCCAGGATAAAAACACCGCAAAAGGAGAAGAGATAGAGACCCTGCAGGGAGGAACACTGTAAGCCAAAGTCCTGCTAAAGACCACAAAAGCAAGGACTAAAACCTGCTGGATTCATCAGAAACTTGCAAATGTCAAAAACCACTGAACTGAGAGGTGAAGGCAGCTTTGCCAGCAGCTGAGCAGCAGCCTGAAACAGCCGAAACACAGCGGTGATGGAGCTAAAGAAGCCATGGCCCCAGCATCAGCACACAGCTGGTTGCTGAAGGGCTTTTCAAACCACGTGCAGCCCAGCCATCAAATTCAGAGGTTGCAGGGCACAGGCTGCTAACAGGCAGACAGGAAAGCAAAGACTGAAAGAGTTGCAGGAACCCAGCTGAGTCACCATGACGAAAAGCTGTTCTTTGGGCCCAGTACCAACCCTGGCTGCAGCGACAGGAGCTGGCACAGCCAGAAAGCCAACAATAAAAATGTGGAAAGAACAGCGGTAGAGACCAGCCCAGGTTAAACATCAGTCCTGAACTGACTGTTCTCTTGTTGCTCCTTCCTTCCCTCCTCTACAGCAGACTGCCCAGGCTCCGCTCTCGGTTTGAGCCAAACTAAAAACCACTGGCCTGGCCCCACCTAGAACCACAGAAATGGAACAATTTTACACAAGGGTGAGAGCAAAAACTGGAACCCAGCCTTTGGCGTGGTAGGCACTCTCCACCATGTGCCTTATAATAGATAAATAAAACTCTCATTCTTTAAGAAGCTTAAGCTCTGAAAGATCATTATCTGGAGCACTGCATCCAAAGAGCTGCATGCTGCGTGCTGCACCACCACATCCCTGCTCCTGCTCAGCTCATAATTCCCACGGAAAATTCATAAAAGCTAATATAGTATCTCTTCATGCTGCTCTCAGGATTCACTAAGTTTTAAGCAATGATTTGCACTGCGCCCCACTACCCATTTCCTTCAGTCACATAACAATCAAGGAATAAATGGCATTGCAATAACAAGCACTAATTTTAAGACACAGACGAATAATGTGCTCTCTACAGAAAACTAAGATTCTGCAGTGCTGCCACTTAATTGACTCATGGCATTATGAGCAATTACAACACTCAGGATTTGGAGCAATTTTACTAGCTCTTGCTACGTAATAGTTCTTGCTATCAAAAATAAAAAAGAAAAATGAACCCTGCCTTCAGCACCACCACCTGTCTGTTGCATGATTTACAGACCCTGATGCACCGAGCTCAGGTCGTGTTCTGGGCTTCTACTCACTAACATCATACAAAAACCAGCACATGTAAGATGGTTCTTCTGATCATTAGATACCAGCACTGAAAAAGCTTTTTCTGGCCACACCTCAACCCTGCTGACAGGGCATCTTTCCCTCTCCAGCAGTTCAAGTCATTCTGCACTAATGGCAGGGAGCTGAACTCAGGCACAGTAATTAATAGACTCTTGCTCAGCAAACAAGGAAAATGAGATCCCACGCTCATCTACATCAGCAAGATCCCATTTCCAGAAGTGCTCATACCAGTCATGGTGTTATCCTGTCAGTTATTAATCCTAAAACATCTGCCAAGTCAGGAACAAGGATTTATCTCCTTTATTTGCTTTCACTTTCGCTTGTCCCCCCCCACCAGGGTCAGTTTCTCTGGGAATGAAACTTCTCGATTAGTGTGTCAGAAGCAATAAACTCTCTGCTAATTGATGTCCCTGTAGGCTTTGACCCAACTAGTGGAGTTTAGCAGCGTCTGCCACTGTTTATCAAGTCACTGAGATGAAGGATGTTTTCAGCTTAATACACCTGCCGCAGCCTAAAATTCTGTACCACAAAACAAGCAGCTCTACACAGATCTCTTGCTGTCTCCACATGCATCGTCTTGCCTCCTGCCCTCTCAGTGCTGGCACGAGTGGAGGCAGAGGGGTACCCACAAGCTGGAGGACAAGTGAACACTGCTGCCCTCCCAGTTGCCACACCACCAGCACAGCAGTCTATTTTTAGACCTGTTTCAAACAAATCTCTTGTCTCAGCCTTGAAAGCATTTCATTGACGAAAATTTTTGCATGTGAATGACATTTTGCTGGCATTAGCACCTGAGGCTTTTTGCTGTTCTCCAGTGTAGGCGGTGGTGCAGTTAAATCCGTGTTCAAGGGTCAAATGCTGATAGACCTGGCTCGCCCTGTCAGAACCACAGGCATCCAGGACCTTTTCCTTTTTTTATTACAGGAAATGCATGTGTAAATGCTGTTGTGCAGAAGTGATGCCTCCATTAAAACGTCAGCCCAATTCCATACATGCTGAACCCTGGAAGTAACTGTCAATGCAATCTGGATTTGGAAATGTCACCTTTGAAAAAACACATAAACCCACTAATTTTCCAGGTCATCATTTTTGGCATCAAAATATCAGGATTCTATTGGTACCACTGAGACAACTTGTCCAAGCTAGGGACTGATACCGTCTTCTCATTTTACTGGGAACCTCAAATGCATCCTTTCAAGCTAAACTGAGTCTGGTTATCACATTATTATTGAGAGGTGGAGTGGCTGAATACACAGTTCTCTCGCTACAGATGCTCTGTATTTTTCTGTGTCTGACAGAGAGTGAGCAAGAGAGAGCGAGCAGGAAAGGAACCGCTTCTGGAGCTTCAGCCGTATGGTACTCCTGTCAGGACATGAACCCATCTGGAAATAAAAAGCTTAGAAATCACGCATTCTTTCTACTCTTGTGTTTTGACCTTTACATTCATGTTGACCATCACTGTTAGGCTAAGGAACTTGAGAAATAAAGCAGTTTTGAAAACTGTGTGGTGTGAGGATAATTCCTCATCTGAGAGGGAACAGCCTGTGCCAGGCAAACTGCTTTGTAAAAGGAGACTGAAATGAAGAACCTACCTGAGAAGTGCTAATGTACTTCAGGAACCTCAAGGCCTCGTAGTTGAGGGAAGGAGTTGGACTCGCCCACGGCTGTAGTTCAATGTGCCATCTTACAGTCTGCAAAGCAAAGCAAAAGCAAAAACATCTTCAAGGAAAAGGATTCATTTCTCTGTACAAGCATAAAATGCAAACGCTAATAAATGAAGGAGAGTTAATTACAAACAAAAAGAGTTTCCTAGGGGCTTGTCTACACATGAAAGTCATTTCAGAATAAAGCAGGGTTTGAACTACAGTGAAAGAGCACCGAACTATAATTTATCATGATCAGCTTTGAAAGCAGTAGGTAATTCAGAAAGAAAGGGCTCTTCATCCAGGATACATGTGTCAACACAATTATCCTAGGACACCCAAGCAAGCCCTGGCTTGTAGAAACCCATGAAGAAAACCAAGATCTGAATAACTAAATCCTCTAGCAAACATCTGAAAACAGTGAAATAATTTTAATTTTATATCTATTGCATATCTCCACTTGAATGTCCACTGAAACAAGAACTTGGATTGCAAACACTAATCACCAAAGGAAATGTCTGCAAGCAATCTTTTTCCTTTTTTAAAACCTAGATTCAATAGAAAAGCAAACTTCTTGTGGTCCTTGAGATCAGTCCTCTTCCTCTCCCACACTTGCCTGACGAGATACACCAGAATTTTTTGCTTTCCTGAGAAACCATCAGTGTGGTTTTCCTAGGCCCAGGGATGCAGCTTTGGTGGATGCTTTCTGCACTCCCTGCAAGGCCCCTCAGCTCTGAACCTCAGGGATCCCGCCAGATTTTCCAGCAACACTTCCCACATAGACAGAGCAGGACAGAAGAGGTCTTTCAGACACATGCTTTCAGAACAACGGGGCTCTGCGCTCCCATCTGCACCACCTTCTCCAAATTCTGCCCGCTTTTGTCACACTGGGAAGTTCAGACGTGTTACCTCTTGCCCTCAAGTAGATAAAAATACAAGCAAAGTGTTAAGTTGTACTAAATTAAGATTGATTCCTCGTGGCTTTTCATCTTCAGGCGCCATCTCACGTCTATGGCTGGGCAGGTAGTATCAAGCTTCCTTTTAACCATCCCCAATTAACTGAGCTTCCATAATGAACAGGATGGGGTTTCTTCCCACAAGGATGGCGGCGGGTCAGAGTGGCAAGGTGCTGAGCCCCCGGCCAGGACCAGTCTGCGGCACCAGGAGAAGAAACAGCACGGTGACAGCAGGGATCTGCCGACGCCAGAGAGGAACGCAGGAAAGAAAAAGAGAAGGCGAAACTAGAAAAGGAAGATGATTAAAGGCGATCATGAGACTAGATGGAGTTTGCCTTGAGCTGATATCATGAACTGGTATTTTTGCAGCCTAAGTAAACACAGTCTGGAGCGAACGCGAGCCAGGAGGTCTGTATGAGGTTTATTGTTCCTTTAGGGTTTGCTCTTTGGTTTGTGTTTTTTTTTTTACTGTAAAGAGATGCTGAAATGGACATTTGAGATATTTTTTTTCCCCAGAAGCAGACAAAAGTAGCATTTCCCACCCTGAAACTTTCTGCCTGCAGCAGACAGGGGCTCCTATACCCTGCACAGCACAAGGCTGGAAGCAAGCTCGCAAGCAAACTCCGCAGTAGCCCCTGCCCCTGCCCCTCTGACCGCAGAAGGCAGCCCGCCAGCAGCTAACAGCGGGAGGATAGGTGCACGCCGGGGAGAGAAACGCCTGTAATCTTTCAGAATGAGTCACAGTTCACAGCGCTGAATAACGTTTGCAATGACAGGAATGCTGCCGTTTCAACAGGCTTGAAAGCTGAAATTAAAATGAAGACTGACAATCATTTTCAGGCAAAAAAAAAGACCCCAAACCCCAGACACCTAAATGTCTGTGCCCAGTTATTCTGAAATCTATTTGTGTGAGGAGTAGCTCATTAAGTAGAGGAATTGCAGGGTGGCCACTGTGGCACTATTCAGCAAGAATTCCCTCTGCATAGAGTTGACAGGGAAGAAAAAGAAAAAAAAATCTCTATAATTAACCATGTGAACGAGGTTCTTTTTCAGCAGATTGCAATATCCAAGAGCCACTGTGGTTTACTCTCCAGTTCTTAAAATCTCAAAGGTGATAAACTGCCTTCCCACTGACTCCAAAATGTATCAATAAACACGAAAATGAAGATTAAAATCCCTGTGACTTAATAATGCAGTTTCACTCAAAAAAAAAAAAAAGAAAGAAAGAAAAAAAACAGAAATATATCAACGTTTTATATAGTTCTTTCAATACAGGAGCACTACATAGACGCTGCTTTTGTGACAGATCAGACCTGAGCTCCCGCTAAACGGCAATGCTTTTGAATAGCTTCTCAAACTTCACACTTGGTCCCCGGCTCCTTCCTAAGCAGCAGCCCATTTCCATTCACTAACGAATTCATCAGAGAGGTCTGTTCCTAACACCCCTACGGGGCGCTTCAATAGCTGCATCACAATGAGATTCACAGACGATAAACCGGGGTCAAAATCCAGTACATCGCTTGGAGCCGGTACACCCTCCCAGCGGGTAACCCGCCAATGTCGGTGATGCGGTATGGGTATATTCAGCACTCACAAAATATCCTCCTGAAGGAGCCATTCTTTATGTACAGCAGTAGCCTTTGTTTATTATTTTTCAGGTAATTTTCAGCCTGTTGCATAGTTTTTCCATGTAACCCTTCTCAAACAAACTCTGCAGATAAAATGCACCCGCTCCCTGTGAACCAACTGCTTTGTGAAAATCAGGTTTATTCCTGTTTAACACATGTTCCTTATTTTCAGGAACTTTTCCCCTCCAGTCTTTGCAATTTTACTTCCTCAAAGCAAACCTGACTGTAGCATCATAATTTGGATTTTCCCACTTGTATCACAGAAGCCTCCAGAGTAAATAACTGAAAGCAGGTCCCTGCAGCTGCTGTACAAAGCAGGCTGAGGAGCAGCTCCTTTCAAAGGGAGCTTCTACGGCAAGTACACAAGAGGAGCAGAGGAGGTATTATGGCCCATATTATGGATATGAAATTCAGACAGACCTCCCCACCGTCACCCAGAAGGAGCCACAAAACTGATTCAGACATTCTGCATCCCTGGCTATCACCACCGCTGTGCTATCTCCCCAGGGTAAGGACTCAGCCAAGGAGACACCATGACACCATGACTGTGTTTCCCAAACACCAATATACCCTGATTCCGCAATATAAAGAGGTGACAGTAGCTGGAAAGTTACAACACCACTTAAAAAATATCATACTGAGTATCTTGAAGTATCCCTCTATTTATATAGTTTCACTTACAGATCTGTTACCTGAAATTAGCACTGAGAAAAATCAGTCTTCAGAAAGGCTTTATCACAGGCACTGGTCAGACACTGACTTCAGCTACCCTAGAAGGGTAATGGATATCCAGAAATTGTTATCCAGAGTCATATCTAAATTTTAACCACTTAAGATAACCACAGAGCAAAGAAAATCTTAACGCAATGCCTTTGCTTTGTTAGGAAAACCAGCATGCGTTTGAAGGTCTGATGTTTTTCCCAGGTACTTCACACTTAAGGATAAGGACTGATGTCTCCTTCAAACCAATCTGACAGTAATCTGCAGTGACTCCTCTCTGGAGACCACTTCTTTCTAGATTTTTTCCCCCTCATAGCCATCTATGATAGTTATCTGATAATCCCTTAATAATCTGTAGTACACAGCATGGGTTCATGAAAGGCAGGTCCTGTTTGACCAACCTGATCTCCTTCTATGACCAGGTGACCTGCCTAGCGGATGAGGGGAAGGCTGTGGATGTTGTCTACCTGGACTTTAGTAAGGCCTTTGACACTGTTCCCCACAACATCCTCCTGGAGAAACTAGCTGCCCATGGTTCGGACGGGTGTACTCTTCACTGGATAAAGAACTGGCTGAATGTCCGAGCGCAGAGAGCGGTGGTGAATGGAGTTAAATCCAGCTGGCAGTCAGTCACAAGTGGTGTTCCCCAGGGCTCAGTTCTGGGTCCGGTCTTGTTTGACATCTTTATCAATGATCTGGATGAGGGGATTGAGTGCTCCCTCAGTAAATTTGCAGACGACACCAAGTTGAGTGGGACTGTTGATCTGCTTGAGGGTAGGAAGGCTCTGCAGAGGGATCTGGACAGGCTGGATCAATGGGCCGAAGCCAACTGTATGAGGTTCAAGAAGGCCAAATGCCGGGTCTTGCACTTTGGTCACAACAACCCCATGCAACGCTGCAGGCTTGGGGAGCAGTGGCTGGAAAGCTGCCTGGCAGAAAAGGACCTTGGGGTGTTGGTTGACAGCCGGCTGAACATGAGCCAGCAGTGTGCCCAGGTGGCCAAGAAGGCCAGCGACATCCTGGCTTCTACCAGGAATAGTGTGGCCAGCAGAAGTAGGGAGGTGATCGTGCCCCTGTACTTGGCACTGGTAAGGCTGCACCTCAAATATCGTGTTCAGTTTTGGGCCTCTCACTACAAGAAGGACATTGAGGTACTGGACCGTGTCCAGAGAAGAGCAGCGAAGATGGTGAGGGGTCTAGAGAACAAGTCTTACGAGGAGCGGCTGAAGGAGCTAGGGCTGTTTAGTCTGGAGAAGAGGAGGCTGAGGGGGCACTTTATTGCTACCTGAAAGGAGGTTGCAGTAAGGTGGGTCGACTGGATATTAGGAAAAATTTCTTTACTAAAAGAGTGGTCAGGCATTGGAACAGGCTGCCCAGGGAGGTGGTTGAGTCCCCATCCCTGGAGATGTTAAAAAAATGTGTAGATGTGGCACTTTGGGATATAGTTTAGTAGGCATGGTGGTGTTGGGTTGACAGTTGGACTTAATCTCAGAGGTCTTTTCCAAACTAATGATTCTATGATTCTATACCTATGGTATCATTTGTCCTAAAAATCTGAAATCATAATATAAAGTTTAAATTAACATGTGCAAAAGGCTCACAAACGAGCAGGTGTAAAATTGCAGGTCCTAGCATCAACTTGAACACGTAAATCATTAAATTCTTTCCAGATCAATCCTAGTTTCAGTGCAGTAATTCAAACAGCCCAACCCCTCCCTTCCCTTCTGCTTACATTTGCAAGGGA